TTTGAATCATTCAATAACCCACCTTCGAGTGATGCTCTAGTTTCTTCATGTTTTTTTCCTTCCCCTCTTGCTTTCGCCGGACTGAAACTGTCTTTTCGCCGACATCTCTTCACCTGCACTAGTGGCCGTATCAAAGCTGTGATTGGTCAGATTTCGATTCATTGCAACGGTGTCGGGTTACAGACGTGCTCCCCTTGTCACCTCTCTCTCACTCTCGCGGGGGGTGCGCGGAGAACTGAGCGGAGAACTGCGCACAGCAGCTGAGGCCCTCTGGGCGGGGCCCCCTGCGCAAGGCGGGGCCCCATGCAGCCTGCGTGATTGGCCTGTAGGGAGGGGCGGCCCTGCATACAGTCAATACCTTTGTTGTTATTAGCATCTGGTTAGTTAGCTATGCTAACGAATATAAGAAGCTTTTTCTCCAACCAGTAAAGGCACATCTTTACATGATCATTATAGTTATAAAAAAATAAGCGAATAAAGTAAACTGGTATAACATACTATATGACAGTAAAAAAAAGTTGTTATTAATAAACAAGAATACAGTTTAAAAGGGGAGTGATTTGTAAAATATCCATAAAGAAAAAGAAATCTGCTTACAGTTCTGTGTCATATGGGTGTTGAGAGATGTATGCATAGATCTCCTAATTTTGCTCTCACAGTGCACCAGATTGATGCTTTTAACTTTAAAAATAATCTTCCCGGGGGAGCATGCCCCCGGACCCCCCTAGAGGAGGTTAGGTCCCCAGCCCACTTAAATCATGTCCACATGGATAGGAAACTAAATACATTTGCACACATCTTGTGTCCATATCTTTCTGTTTGGGTGGTCATGCCAAAACCGTGCACGTGCATGCAAACGCGAGTCATGGTAAAATATCTGGATTAAGAGGTTGCTTTTTCTTTGCACAGCATGAAAGAAAGGTCAAATAAATGGGCTGTGATTTAAGTATTTTTAAGCAGAGGTCAATCATTTGTACGGCCCTCGGAGGATGTTGGAAAAATCGAAATGGCCCTCGAGAGGAAAAAGGTTCCCCACCCCAGCCCTAGAGGAAGTGACGTCCACCCCCAAAATTAAAACATGTTCATACAATACTGAATACATTTGAAGCCATTTTGATGTATATGACCTATGCCAATAAGTTTCTGTTTTTGTAGTGTATTTGTCTTTTGTAGAGATTTTTCATTTATTCTTTTTATATAAAATCACGCCTAAAATCTTGCGCTCACATTATGCTGGGCCCACGTGCCTTAGTACCGCTGCTATGACTCCATCCTAGGGGAAACACTGAGCACTACTGATGAAATGCCATCTCATGAGTTGAAACACTTTATAAGTATAGCAATAATAATAATCTTAATAAACAGAGACTCTCTTACCTGCTGTCCTCTCTCATATTCTGCTATTTTCTCCATTTCTTCGTTCATCTTCTCAATGTTCTGTCTCCTCTTCTCCTCCCACTCCTGTCCAAAACACAGGGCAGCATCATCAGTGACAGATCATAATGTAGGACGTGAACTTGGCCTTCAGAATGAGGCTCAAACCTTTTTGCCGACCAAGCCTGGCTTTAAATCATGCAGGAAAAAATGTTGGTCTGAAAGAAGCCTTGGTCAAATTCCAACACTTTCTCTACCATGTAAACTTATAACAAATGTGTAACACGTGTAGTAGGGCTGTACGATTATGGCGAAACTGATAATAACAATTATTTTGGCCAATATTGAGATCATATTGATGTATCTCTTCCTGAGTGGCCAGGTTTCAAGTCTAGTCCCCTCTCTGTCCCCATTTTCTGCACATTCACTTTGATCAATAAAGCTTATCCTCACCTTGGATTTCCTGTCTGGGCCACCTGGTGTCCCACCTGGTGTCCCACCTGGTGTCCCACCTGGTGTCCCACCTGGTGTCCCACCTGGTGTTCCTTCTCCTCCCCCCCTCCCCCTTCCTTCTCCTCCTCTTCCTCTCCTCCCTCCTCTGCGTCCCGGTCCTCCCGTCTCCCCAGGTTCTCCCTCTCTTGGTGTTCTGGGCTCCCATTCTCTCCTCTCCTGGCGACCCCCTCTCTGACCTCCCCGACTCATTCGTCCTGACCCCGTCTTCCTCTGGGGGCTGTGCTCGCTGTTTGGCCGCCGCTGGCCTTCACTGGGACCTCCTTGGGGGCTGTCATCTGGCTCTCTGTGCCCGTCGCTCTGCCCTCGTTGGCCCTCATCGGGCCCACGGCGGTGGCCCTTGCTAGGCCCCCGTTGGCCCTCGCTAGGCCCCCGGTGGCCCTCGTTGGGCCGTCGCTGGGCGTCACTGGGCCATCGCTGGGCATCACTCTCCTCTGAGGTCATCCGAGCTCGAGGCGTTACAGGTTTCCAATCGTTTACGACTCTCTTGTCCTGCAGGGAACACACACAGAGAATTTGTCTAAGTTTACTCAGTCACATATTTTAATCTTTATTGGTAGAGCAAGGACTCTGTGCATGACTGACAGGACTTTTAGAGGTTGTAGCGATTAAGGTGGACTAAATACCTGACTCTACAGCCATGTGACAATTGCATGAAGTGCCCAAATACAACTGTGTGTGGTGTAAACAAATAATCAAAATAATTAACAATGGCTTACATTAGATTACATGTTAGACGCTTTTTATCCAAAGCGACTTACATACTCAATACTGTGGACAATCCCCACGGGAGCAATTTGGGGTGAAATGTCTTGCCCAGGGACACAACGACATGCTGACTGCAATGGGACTCGAACTTGCTATCCTCTGATTCGAAGATCAGCGCATTAATCCACTGCGCCACACGTCTCCCTTAATAAGCATTTTGGCTCCTACATGGGTCATAATAAAAATCCTTGCATGGGCAGATGATGATAGTACCTTTGTAAAATTACATTAAAATCCTACCTATGAAAAATAAATATGAACCTTTTAATAAAAAATAACAGGGAACCACAGCAATAAATGTTCACTTTAAACTGATTGGTTGCACTACTCTGCATTGAAGCTTGGTTTTGGTCTCATAAACCAAAGAGATATAAATAAATATAAAACAGCTGTGCCAGTGATTACTCATTATCTTTTTAGAAAGCCAGTGGGTTTGGAAAAAATATATTTCCTGTCCTGAATTTAACCGCTCTACTTTTAATTTAAACAGATCCAATCTGCTCAATCTTTAGAACTGGTGCAGTAAAAAGTACAAAAGAGTAGTAAGGGCTATGGATTATGCAAAACTACAGCATGATGAGCCCAGGGAACGAGGCTGGGAGGCGGATGACTGTTATCAGTGTTTCAAAGAGCTCTTTCAGCTCAGGTATCAGGAGTCTGCTGTACAGCTTTAACAGACTAATGAACGAAACTTGACCATTTGGCTTTTAAAAACCCCTTCAGACAGGTACACATCTGGAGCAGATGCAGCCCTGTTTCCTTGTGACCTTTCCATGTTGAACATTGGGGGTCTGCAGTCATCAGCAGGATATTTATGTAATCTGCAGCGCAGCAGGGGCTGACAGCACCGTTACACCACAGTGGTGAACACCAGTGAACATCCAGGGAGCGGACATTGAGATTGTGAAATCCTACAAATACCTCTGTGTTCATCTGAACAATAAACTGGACTGGTCAGACAACTCTGCTGCTCTGTACGAGAAGGGACAGAGGAGACTCTTTCTGCTGAGGAGACTGAGGTCTTTTGGGGTGCGGGGGCACTCCTTCATACATTTTATGACTGTTGTGGCATCAGCCATTTTCTATGGTATGGTCTGCTGGGGCAGCAGCATCTCGGCTGCTGACAGGAAGAGACTGAACAGACTGGTAAGGAAGGCCAGCTCTGTCCTGGGGAGTCCTCTGGTAGGAGACATGAGTCCTCACTGTGGAGGTGGTGGGAGACAGGAGTCCTCACTGTGGAGGAGGTGGGAGACAGGAGCCCCTGGACACTGTGGAGGTGGTGGGAGACAGGAGTCCTCACTGTGGAGGTGGTGGGAGACAGGAGTCCTCACTGTGGAGGTGGTGGGAGACAGGAGTCCTCACTGTGGAGGAGGTGGGAGACAGGAATCCTCACTGTGGAGGTGGTGGGAGACAGGAGTCCTCTGGACACTGTGGAGGTGGTGGGAGACAGGAGTCCTCACTGTGGAGGAGGTGGGAGAAAGGAGTCCTCTGGACACTGTGGAGGAGGTGGGAGAAAGGAGTCCTCTGGACCCTGTGGAGGTGGTGGGAGACGGGAGTCCTCTGGACACTGTGGAGGAGGTGGGAGAAAGGAGACCTCTGGACTCTGTGGAGGTGGTGGGAGACGGGAGTCCTCTGGACACTCTGGAGGTGGTGGGAGACGGGAGTCCTCTGGACCCTGTGGAGGTCTCCTGGCTCGATTGCGCCCTTGGCCAAGAGGACGGACAACTCTTGGGCCAGAGCTAAGGCCTTCGCCGGATCGCTGACAACTGTCATTTTGACCCGGCCCTAGGGTCGGAAGTACAGGCAGCCCAGTAACTGAGAAAATCAGCCGACGACCTTGAGGGGCGCCGGTAAGGCTCTGAGGCACAAGGCCGCCTAGAAGGCCGGCGACCGGGGGCAAGAAAGCCGCCGGGAGGTGGTTGAGTGGGCTGCTGGGACCTCCGCAGACCAACACTGTAAGCTGGTGGCTGAGTGCGGCTGCTAGAGGGGCCCCTGGGCCTCCTGGGAGTGGGCACAGGCCTATGAAGGCCTGAGAGCTGCTGCCTGGTCCGCCTAGCTTGGGCGGCACGCTCCCCAAACAGCTCTCCTGGCTCGACTGGCAGACTACGGAGGACATGTCTCCGACAGTGGTGACTGAGCAGGACAAACCTGGTGACTAGTCTGCACCAATAAAGACATAACTCGTCCCAACTCCCTAGACATTAGGGCAAAGGCTTGCAGTGATGAATCACTGAGGCCCAGCAAAGAAGAGCCTGCTGCAGAGAGGTAGAGACTGCCAGCATCAGATGGGACAGGGAGTTCCCGTTACGACCCGTGCGTGCAGCAGTGTCGTAGGCCCTACAGAGCAGCTCGCCCTGCACTGAGGCCAAGGGTACCTGGCATCGGGCCTTGGAGCCTCATCAGGAGCCAGAATCGGGGAGGCGATGGCAGACTCAATGGATGGCAAGCGACCCAGTCCCACCCTCGCCGGACCCTGCATGGCAGCAGAGTGGGAGAGGGCCCTGGTGTCTCTCCAGCATGCATGGAGCTCCCTCAGGTACTCCTCTGAAGGAGGAACAGTGGGAGTGACAGGGGCAGGGTTATGCCTGAAGAAGGCGCTAGCCTGAGCCGAGTCGACCTGTGGAACCTGAAGCTGCAAGCGTGCCAGGGCCGCACGAATAGTGGGCGCCATGGAGGCATCCTCCATGCCCTGCAGATAGCTCTAAGCAGAGGAGTGGGAAGCCTCCTCGAGAGTGAGCAGGGCCCCGCCCTCCACCCTTTCATAGAAGAGGTTTAGCCGAAGCCGCTAGCGACATGGCATCTTAAAGCAGAGGTGCTGCAACCGAAGGAGGGCCAGGCGGCAAGCTAGTAGAA